TGTCCTCCTCTGTCCTCCTTCCAGAACCTCGGGCGGGCCGCCTGCTCGAACCGGTAAGTTTGCGACATTCAGGCGGTCCGACGAGTCCCGATGCTTGCACGGCGCCGTGGTGCATCCGCGCTGCCGATCCGACTCGATTCCGACCCCGTGCTGATGTGCACCGATCCGACGAACTGTCCGATTCGACCCGATTTGCCGATTCGATGCTGACCGATTCTGGTGTGCGGTAGGTTCGCGCCTCGCCGGTGTGGCGGCGGCCCCTTTGCGAGCGTTCCAAGGTTGAACGCCGCCAGCTGCCAGCCAGCGGCTGGTATCGAACGAACAGTGCTGTCGACAAGTCGCGACCGTTCCAAGGTCAAACGGTTCACGCGGCGTCAGAGAGCAGCGCCGACGTCATTGTGACGTGAGCCTGCCGTGTCCAGACTGTTTCTTGTTCGTTCTGTCTCGTGATCGATCGAGGCTTTCGTGTTTTCACATCGCCTCTTCGGCCTCCCTGTCTCAGCCCGCGGCCGCCCCTCCTCGCCCTCCCCCCAGTGCCAACTTGCTCCGCAGCCTTCCAGCTGCAGGCTGCGCCGCCGACCAATTTCTCGTCTTGTTTTGAATCCGTGGGCCCCAGGGGCCTCGACCCCCTCCCTGTGGGGTTCTTTCTCGCCCGGGTCTCTTACTGGCAGTCCCAGGACTCCGCGAGCCTGCCCCCGTGGGCGGACAGTTTGAGAAAGCGCGCTCTGGGACTCCAGGCCTCCTAAAAGGGGTCGGGGTAGATGGGGTCAGGGGATCGCGCCGCATCGCCGATGCATCGTCGATGCGGCTCGATGTGCAGCCCGATTTTCCCCCCGCCGACGTCGCCGATGCATCGGCGATGCATCGGCGATGTATCGCCGATGTATCGCCGATGCGGCTCGATCCTCCGACCCCATTTACTCGGACCCCATCAAGGATGCCTCTAGTTCAGCTACGCGCATCGGTGACCCTTTGCCTGAGTGACGTCCAGTGCAGGCCCACTGGGGTCCCGCTATCGCCGAGTGCGGCGCGATGGCAGCAGCTTGCGCGCACGGATTTGGACCTCTCACTGCCTCCCTAAGGTTAAGTCGGGCATTTCACTCCACAGGAGGAATATTCAAGAACAGTGAAAACATAGCATGGGGACGATTCTTTGGACTATTGCGAAGGCCTTACGGCCGGTGCCGCCGACCCTGAACGGCGACGACGACGACGACGACGAGCGCTCTTGGGGGCCTCTTGGGGGTAGTTTGTGGGCCTCTTGGGAAGCTCTCAGGGGCCGCTTGGAAGCCTCGTGGGGGCCTCTTGGGGCTTCCTGGGGGTCTCTTGGAGGGGGCCTGGGACGTCTTGGAGGCTTCTTGGACGGTCTTGGGGCTATCTTGGGCGTTTTCGGCCGATCTTTGGGCGACTCGGGGCCCTCTTGGGCCGTCTCGGGGGCCATCTTGGGCATTCGGACCTCATTTGGAGTGTTTTCGAGGTTTCTAGGCCGCCCGAGGAAAACGAATCTGCCCCCCCACCCCCCCCGGGACCCCCCCCGGGACCCCCCCCGGGACCCGGGACCCCCCCGGGACCCCCCCGGACCCCCCCCCCTGGGGAAGGGGCTTCCCTTCGACTCGATTACGACACTGCTAGATTTTTCTCTCGCTCACGAGCTTGAGAAGGAAGCTGCAGGGAAAGGGGACGACGGAGGCGACGACCGACGGAGACGACGACTCGAACAGCCAAGCCCCTCGCACACGCCGACAGGGTCGGCAGATTTTTGTGCTTGTTTCGAATCGTTTTTTTTGTTGTTGCCCACATTCCGCCTGCAGGAGGACGTGCCCGACCTAACCCCTAAGGCCGCGCACCGACAGTCGTTCTTGTCGCTCTTCCGTGTGCCCGAGGTCGTGGTGCTCACCCCCCCCGTGCCCTCCGGCCCAGACCCCAGGTGCGCTTGTTTCACGGCGTGGATCTCGGAGGTTCGCTGAACAGCTTGTCTGTAAGGGTTATTTTTTCTCTCGAATAGGGGGCCACATGCGAACCCTGCCCCTACCCCCCACGATTTCTGAGGTGGAGGGTGGGGTTCGTTTCGCTCGGGTAGGGGCAGGTTTGGCATGTGGCCCCCTACTGGTGCGCTTGTTTCACGACGTGGACCTCGGAGGTTCGCCGAACAGCTTGTCTGGAAGGGTTCTTCTTTTTTTTCCCTCGAAGGAGCGAATATAGGTGTGCTGCCGAGTGCTTCAGTCGCTCAGGCGACGTTGTCTCCCACTGTCTCCCGTTGTCTCCCATGGTCTCCCACGGGCGATCCCTGTACCTATCCGTATCCGTATTCGTATGCCTATCCTTCTATGTTTATCCCTCTGCCTCTATCCCCATCCCTATTTCTATCTTCTATCTCGATGCCTGTCCCCATCCCACTACCGATCCCTATCCCTATCCCCGGCCCTTGTGATCACTGTTCCTTGCGAATATGCCCCCCCTCCCCCAGGCGACCAGCGTCCAACCAGGAACCGTGAGGACAAGATGACGACCCACCCCCCACCATCCCTGTTTAAAAAGGGAATGCAAACCGCACTCTGCCTCCACATTTGGAGCATGCGCGGCCAACCCGATGCGCCCCCCCCCCCCCCCCCATCCCTGTCAACAAAAATACAAAGTACACTTCGGGGCAAAGCCTTGAGTCATGTTCGTGAGGCCCGCGAGCACTTTGCATTGTTTTTGGCAGGGACGGCGGGGGTGTCAGCACGTTCCCTGCTGCGCGCAAGGCTCCAATCCCTGACAAAATACAACACAACATGCACTTCGCTGTCAAACCTGGATCATGCGCGGCCATCCCGCGATCACTGGCAAATTGTTCTTGACAGGGTCTGCGGGGGTGGTGGCGCGTGGCCCGCTGTGCGCAGGCCCACCAGACACAACGATAGGCACTGGTTTTTGACAAGGACGGCAGGGGCCGACATGCTTCCCGACGTGTGCTGTCACGTGCGCAGGCGCACCTGACGCATCCTGCACCGCCCGATTATGTCGTGACTTCTCCTCCTCCTCCTCCTCCTCCTTCGCCTCCTCAGGACCTGGCTGCCTTCAGCCAGCGGAAGCCGCGGCCGACCATTCTCGTGCCGCGGCGGCGCGGTCCTGGGTGTCTGGCGCACCTGGCGCGGCTGGAGTGTGCGGCACACCTGGCGCATTCTGAGCACGTGCCGCATCTGGCGTACCAGGCGTGCCTGGCGCGCTCGGGCCCCAGGGGTGCCTGGCGCGCGTGGCGCCCCTGGCACGCGTGGCGCACCTCGCCCGAGCGTCGCGCACCTGGGGCCGGCTTTGGTTCCCAGTAGAGGTCCATCCAAAGACGACCGCTGAACATGCTCAGGCTCGGGTATTACTGATGTGTCGGGAGGGCGGGTGGGACTGAGCTAGACGGCTTGCGGGCGGGTGGGTAGCTTGATCCCTATCCCTACCCTTACCCCTGTCCCTACCTCTATCCCTACCCCCCCGTTCTGTCCCCTAGCGTGTCACCCATCGTGGTCCCAGTCGTAACTGTGTGAAGCTGTTTAGGGTCTGCTGCCGCAAGGGCGTCATATCAGCCTTCTCTGGGATCGGCTTCTCACCCCGAGCTCTTTTCTTGACACAGCCCCCGGGCGTGACGATGGACCCCGCAGGCCGAACGTGGGCAAAAGCCTCCCGCCGTGACCTTCTCATGACGCGATGGGGGTCTGGGGCCTCCAGGCCCGGCCGGGTGGAGGGCCTTCCCCGGAGCGTGCCGCGGCCGCCGTGCCGCCGCGGCGGCCACGCTGGCCGCCATCCGCGAGCCTCTCTTTATCTCAGGGCTGGACCTAAACGGTGGCTTTGGCGATTTCGTGAGCCGTTTTCGTTTCGACTTTCGTCTCGACTTTCGTGTCGTTTCGTTTCGTTTTCGTTTTCGTGGGCCGCAAAGGCGGATTGAAGACAAAAGCGAGGGAAAACGAAAACATAACGACAACGAACGACACTGTTTAGGTTCAGCCCTGCTTTATCTTGCCGCTGCTGCTATTCCAGATGCGGGCCAGGGCGGGCCAGCAGGGCAGACGAGTCGTTCCAGAGAGCCCCTGAACGCTCCGAGGGCTCTCGGGAGCGCTCTGGCACGGGCCGCGGTGCCAGAGGCCTCCTCCGTGGCCGCCAGACCTCAGAGATCCAGGATTTTTCTCGGTCCGATTTCTTCCTGGTCTTGGCTTCGTCTGAGCATCATGACGGGATCGAGCCTGAACATTTGACGGCATTAGTATACGTTTCAAAGGCCCGTTCGGATTTGTTCGGTCTGCGTTGCACCTCCCTGTCGGCGCCTTCGTCGCCGTGCCTGGCGCGCTCCAGGGGCCCAGCACAGATGCAAGAAATCCGTGCGGACCCTCGAACGCTTCCGTTTCATGCAGTCTTCTTCCAGAGCTGTCGCTGCAAGCATCTTCAGGAAGTGCCCTGCCCGCTCCACCGACGCGTCGGGGGGTGGGGCAAGGAGGAGTTCTTCATACAGACAAGGGAGGGATGATGATGATGAGAATGTCAATGATACTGATGATACTGATGATGATGTTGTTGATGATGAGATGATGATGATGCTGATGCTGATGCCGCTGCTGATGATCATGATGCTGATGACGACGACGATGCTGATGATGATGGTGGTGGTGATGATGATGCTTATGATGATGCCGATGATGATGAAGATGCTGTTGATGATGATGCCCATGATGATGATGGGGATGCTGCTGCTGTTGATGATGATGATGATGATGATGATCATGATGATGATGGTGATGGTGATGATACGGATGTTGATGATGCTGCAGATGATGATGCGAATGCTGATGCTGTTGATGACGATGATGGTGCTACTGATGCTGATGATGATGCTGATGATACGGATCATGGTGATGATGATGCTGATGGTGATGGTGATGGTGATGGTGATTGTGATGGTGATGCTGCTGCTGATGCTGATGATGCTGCTGATGCTGATGATGATGATGATGCTGCTGCTGCTGATGATGATGATGATGATGATGATGAGGATGAGGATGAGGATGAGGATGAGGATGAGGATGAGGATGAGGAGGAGGAGGAGGAGGAGGAGGAGGAGGAGGAGGAGGAGGCGGAGGAGGAGGAGGAGGAGGAGGAGGAGGAGGAGGGGGAGGAGGGGGGCAAGGGTAAGCCCAAAACGCATTAACGATGTTTCAATAAACCCTTCCTCCAAGCTCCCTCGTCATAGGTCCCTGCAATAATGTTTTTTTCACTGCAGGACGTGCCCATTGAAACACAACTGTCTGATAATCCCCAATCGTGCCACAACAGCATTCCCATTGAAATTCCGCGAATCAGCGTGACTGTTGCGACCTGGCAATCCTCAATCGTGCCAGAACATCGTTCCTGGGACTTGAGCACCGCTAATCAGCGTGATTGCTGCGTCCTGGCAGTCCTAAGTCGTGCCAGCACATCGTTCTGGGAACGCAGGCACTACGAATCCTTAAGACGAATGTGCACGGCGCTAATGCGAGAGTCACATTTTGAAAAGGAGCCGCCCTCCATCTTCGAACTTGGCGCACACTTGCGACACACGTGCGCGGCGCTAAGGCGCGAGCCACATTTTGAAAAAGGAGCCGCCCTCCATCTTCGAATATGTTGCGCACTTTGAAGACGAATGTGCGCGGCGCTGAGGCTCTAGCCACATTTTGAAAACACCTTCCCCCATCGTCGAAATAGTGGCACATTTTTTAGACGACTATGCGCGGAGTTGAGGCGAGAGCCTATCCACATTTTGAAAACCACCAGCCCTCCATACTTGAAGCAGTTTCAGATTTCAAGCTTCAGGAACATAGGTTGTGAGGAAGTCTCAGGCGAACTGCTAGGCCCGCTCAGCCGACATGTCTGCGGGTGCGACGTAGAGGAGTTGTCCATACAGACAACAGATTGGGAGGAGGAGGAGGAGGAGGAAGAGGAGGAGGAGGAGGAGGAGGATGAGGAGAAGGACCAGTGTAAACCCAAGAGTCATCAACGAGGTTGGAATCAACCCTCCCTCCAGCTCCCTCTTCATAAGCCCCTACACGGATTCATTTCCACTGAGGGAGCGGCTTCGTTGGAGGACAACCATTTGAAGATCCTGATGCATGCCAAGACATCATTATCGGGGTTCCAATACCACGGATCAACCTGACTGTTGTGTCCCGACGATCCTAAATCGTGCCAGAATGCCATTCCTGGGACTTCAACACCACGAATCAACGTAACTGTTGCGCCCTCATAACCCTGAATCCTTCCAACACGCAACTTCTGGTACGCTGATCATGGGAACCCGTGGAACTCTTGCAACTTTGAAGAGCCAATCTGCGCGGCGCTACGGCGAGAGCCACATTTCGAAAAGGAGCCGCCCTCAATTCGTGAATCTCTGGTAATTTTTAAGATCGAATGTGTGCGGCGCTGAGGCGAGGGCCACATTTTGAAAATTAACTGCCCTCAATCCGTGAATCTCCTGCAGATTTTTGAAATGAATGCGCGTCGCTAAGGCGAGAGCCACATTTTGAGAACGGGTCGCCCTCAATCCGTGAAGCTCTTGCAAATTGTTTAAAAGTGTGCGTGGCGCTAAGGCGAGAGCCATATTCTTAAAGCGACCCGCCCTCCATCCGTGAAACTGTCGTCTTTTTTGAAGCTCCAGGGTCATACACGGTGACGAAGTCTCAGGAGGAGGAGGAGGAGGAGGAGGAGGAGGAGGAGGAGGAGGAGGAGGAGGAGGAGGAGGAGGAGGAGGAGGAGGAGGAGGAGGAGGAGGAGGAGGAGGAGGAGGAGGAGGAGGAGGAGGAGGGAGGAGGAGGAGGAGGAGGAGGAGGATGGAGGAGGGCTCCCATGCCTCCGCTCCCCCTTCCTCTCCTGCCTGGCGTCGCCCTCGCCTCCCGCTGCGCCGACACCAGGCGCGCTTTCTGCAGGCGATGGAGCGACCCGTCGTGCACTGCAGGCGCGGCGCCCGCCCGAGCCCGACGCGCGACGTGCCACAGGGACGGGTGATGAGTGCATGGCCTGCCAGCAGAGCCCAGCACTGCAGCGCGCAGAGTGCGACGGAGCGGGCGCAGGTGTGCGGCTCGCAGGCGCCAAGCCGGAGGAGCGCACGGGCGACAGAGCGCGCGCGTCAGAACGGCGAGCGGCAGGCGGGGCAGAGGCGAACGACGCACACAGCGGGGGCAAGGGAGGGAGAGAGGCGGAGGAGGACGTCCCCCCACTCCTCCTTCCCTCGCCCTTGCCGATTCGCCTCAGTTTTGTTCGCCCCCGTGCGTGGCCTTCCCCGTAAGATCCGTCGGGCACCGTCGGGGTTCTCCCGCCCAACTCGGCCGCTAGGGCCCGCCCGCCCGACACGCCCGGTCAAGTCCGCATGTGCGCTCGCTTGCTTGCAGCCCCGCTTGCTCGCTTTGATGTCTCGCCCGCCCGACCCGCCCGTCAGGGTCCGCCCGCCCGACCAGCCCGTTGCGGTCCGCCCGTCCGGCATGCCCGTTGGGGTCCGCACGCCGGCGTGCTTGCAAGCCCGCCCGTCCGCTGCCATGTCCTGTTGGGCTCCGGCCAGCGTGGGCAGGGATAACACCTGGCACGTGAAGAGGGGGCAGGCGGGAGGGGGGGGTGTGAAGCGACGCGAGGCGGGGGAAGGCAGCGAGGACGAGAGCCACAGCGACGACGACGACCAGGTCGACAGACGCGGCCCGCCAGCTGACGGGCCCGCCGGCGAAGCGGCTCGCCGGCGGAGCGGTCTGCCCGCAGAGCGGTCCGCTGGCGAAGCGGTCCGCCAGCGAAGCGGTTCTCAGGAGGGAAAAAACACACAGACACAATTAATCGTCGATTCCCAGAAAATATTGGAAAATATGGGAAGTGGGGGGGAAGACAAAAACCCAGAAAATATAGGAAAATATGGGGAATCTTTTTATTTGTGTGTATTTATTTGTGTGTCCCAGTTCCCCTTCAGGTTCGGGCGAAGCGGTTCCCTTGCGGAAAGGTTTGAGCGAAGTGGGTCGGGCGAAGCGGGCGGCCAGCGAAGCAGTCTCGTGCCGAGCACGCGCCTTGAGCGTGCACGGGTCCACTGCGCAGTCGTCTTGTTATTCATGGAGGTGTCCATGGTCTGGTCGGTTCGGCTGGGTCGCAGTCGGTTGCGGTTCGGTCGGGTCGGTCGGGTCTGTTCGGTGGATTGCTATGTCGTTGCTGCGGCGCTCGGTTTTTCTGGACTGCCCGCGGCCTGTCGGTTTCGGTTTTGCTGTCGGTTCGGTCGATGTTCGATGTGCTGCCGCCTCGGCCTTGAGAAACGAAGGAGAAGCGATCAGACGCCGCTCTGTCCGTGTTTTGGAGTTGTTCTTCTGAACGTGCGCCTGCTCGACGTCGGCCGCCTCCGCGTGTAGCAAGAATGCTCAATGAACGTGTGCAAGGGGAATACATCAGTGCGAGGGCAGTACGGGGGCAAACAGTCCCTAAGCGGTATATTCACAAACAATGATTCATGGGCTCGTGATGTGGCACGCACGCGAATCGAGACACAGGGTGAGAGGGAGGCCAGAGTGGGAAGAGCAGGGGGGTGCGGGCAGAGAGGGTGAATGTGGAGTCTCTCTCTCCTTCTCTCTTTTTTTTGTTTCTCTCTCTCTCTCTCTCTCCGGGGTTCCCTTTGTCTCTCTACCTCGCATTCGAAACGGTGCCCCGATTACTCCATCAGCGGAGTCGGCGCCGCCTGTAAGGACAGTCAGCATCAATCTTGGCCCAAGTTGGCAGTGTCAATGATGGTAATGCTGTCATGCTCGACCTAGCTTCTGATCCTGCCATGTCTCTGATGGAGTTGCCCTGGCTTGCCTTCGTGATTTTGTCAGCGTTAGCAGTGGCCAAACCTGGCACGCGTTACTACGCGCGGATAGTTGCAGAAAATCCTGCAGTTCCAGATTCTTGTGACATTGTGAGTTGTGAGTCCAAGACTGTATCGCAGTGTCTATTGGAACTTGCGATGGATAATCCAGTCAAAGAGACATCTCGAGATCGTGTTTACATTATCGTGTTTTCACAGATCTACTTAAGTTTTGCTTGTGGCCCCCTGGTCTGGGAGAAAAGGCTTCAAGATGCCAGCTCAGAATCGTTATGTCCATCGGGAGGGGATCCTTCTTCGTGCTGGTGTCGAGTGGCTTGCTGGGCAAAGGAGTAGGACGTTATTGTTGTAGTATGTGCTTACGAATGGGTCGAGTCTCTTCCCAGCCCGAATCCATTCACGCATCGAACAGATCCATGCCAGATCAATTTGACAGTGTTCAACCAGGCGATGGCCTTTGGTGTGAGTCGTGAACCTGGCAGTCCGCCATAAACATCAATGCGATGATAACAAAGCGAAGAACGCGTACAAGATGGCACGTGGGCTTGTTGTGAACCCCAGCGAACTTGGATGATAATGCTACGGCTCCGTGGCCGGTACCCGATGCTGCAACGTTCACTTCGCATTTCGGCGTGACCTTTGGCATGTTAATTTGCCATGAACTCACTTTCGGCTCGCCAGTTCTTTTGTTGTTGCAAGCTGGTGTGCGTGACATATGTTTCCCCACCGAGTGGGTTGGCATCAGAGAGGGGAGTTTCCAAGACATCCAGAGTGGATTTGCAGTAGCCCACGGGGTTCACCTCATAGCTGCGAATAAAGTGGCAGGGGATTATGGTATTTTGCCAGTTGGTGCAGCTGAAGCTCCTGTCCAAAACCCATTTTGTCGTCAGCTTCATCTCTTCTTCCGAATCCCAATTGTTTGGTACTCTCGAAGTCGAGAGTCCAGTGAAACGTAGTGCTACAGAGTATTCCATGTCACCACCTCCAGCCCATCGGCTCGTGTCGCGGTTGACGGCATCAGCATACATTGCAGAAGTTTCATTGAAAGGAGCTTTTGTCGACTCGAACTCAAGACGCATCACGTTGTTCGGTGCAAGGAATGGCATCTATTTTGCTGGTTTAGCGAATCTTCGTGTTGGCTGGTTGAGAGTGATGTAATTGCCAAACAACTTGACGGACTCCTTTCTCGCCGAGCTTTCTTGGGCAAGTTTTCTGGCCGTTCACTGACGACGCTGCGGAGCTTTGTGCGGATCTCCCTGAGCAAGCTTCGGCAGTCGTCGTCGTCGTCGTCGTCGTCGTCGTCGTCGTCGTCGTCGTCGTCGTTGTCGTCGTCGTCGTCGTCGTCGTCGTCGTCGTCGTCGTCGTCGTCGTCGTCGTCGTCCCCCCCGTAGTCGTCGTGGAGGGGCCCGCGGGGCCCTGTGACCCATCCCGCCGGGGGGGGCGCCCGCGGGCCCAAAGTGGGGGAGCAGAGGGTCGAGGGTTCACAGCCTCCCTCCCCGCGGACGGGATGGGCCCCTGGGTTCACAGGCCCCCTCCCCCCCCGACTGGACGGGGGAGGACTGCGACAACGATGATGACGACGCCACGCCCACAGGGCCACGACCACGCGGGGCGTGGGGGTGACCCGTCGCGGGGGGGGGGGGGGCGGCCCGACGGCAGCAGCATGAGAGGGGGAGGGGGCTGGAGCCCTGGATCATACGTAACCCGTCCAGGGTGGTGAATCTGCCAGTGGGGCCAAGGCAATGCCGGGGGGGGGGGATGGGGATCGGCGAAGCGATGCTCGAGGCCCTTGGCGATCCCCCCCCCCAGCTCGCCCCCAGGCGAGGCGCTGGCCTCGTCGACGGGCGCGGCGTCCTCGAGCAGCCGGGGGCTCGCCTGGAAGAATCGGCCCCGCTTCACCAGCAACCGGAACGTCGAGGCCGCCCCTCGCGCCGTGCCCCTGGCCGGGGGGAGGGAAGAGGCGTCCAGGTCCTCAACAGTGTGTGACTTCTTCGGTCCGGGCGTTTGCCCTCGATCTCGGCCTCTGGGATTTCTTCGCGGGCTCTGGGGCCATGCAGGGTTGCACCCCGGCGGGAGTGTGGTCGGGAGCTCTGGGGCCGCGGATGGGAGCACATCAGATCGGAGGATGTTTGGGAACGTGTCGATGCCAGCGCCGAGAGAGCATACTGGACTGACGAATGTATATGATGCTTCTTGCGCATTGTGACCTGATTTTCTTGTCTTCCCCCCTCTACCCCCTCCGCCCCCCCCCGCAGGTCTTGCTTGGAACCGAGGAGGTTCAGGCCTGGACCCAGAGCCCCAGTTGCTCGAACACGTCGCAGATGGGCGACGGAAGAACCCGGGGCCGACTGCGCCGACGTTCCGATGTTGCGTGCCGTGCTGGCGGCCCGCGTAAACCGCGGCGCAAGGTCGCCATGCTTTCTCGCGTATGACCTTTCTCCTTTCGTCGAGCAGCTGTTCTTCGTCTCCTGCTCTCTCGGCCCTCGGAGGCGTCTCCTGGGGGCCAGGGGGCCGCCAGGTCCCAGGGGGATCCTGGAGGCCTCGCGGGGCGGGCAACAGCTGTATTCTCTAGCTCGCACCTCCGCCCCGTCAGATCTGGGAGGACGTTCGCGCGGTGATGTTCCGACGTCCAACGTAAAATCCGACGGGAAGCCGACGAGCATCCGACGTGCATCCGACGCAAGCAGGGTCTCAAGTCGTCGCGCGAGGCCTCCCTTCTAGTCCTCCTGCGACGAGGGCCCGGAAGCCCGACATCATCGAGTCGTTGGAAGGTTGGGCTCCGCGCCGAGCTACCGAGGAGAAGGACAATCCGAGGGCGAGCGCACAACGCGTCCTGTAGCCAGCGGGCCGCGCCGGCCGCGGAGGAGGAAAGCGGGGGGAGGCCTCGGGCGTTGGGAAGCTTCGCTGCGAGGAGTGCACAGGCGGGCTCAGGCACCCGGGGGCCAGGGTGCCGAAATGTGCGCGGTCAAAGTCCAGGCTGCCGAAGGGGGGGCAGCGCCGAAGTTTTCTGGCCGTTCACTGACGACGCTGCGGAGCTTTGTGGGGATATCCCTGAGCAAGCTTCGGCAGTCGTCGTCGTCGTCGTCGTCGTCGTCGTCGTCGTCGTCGTCGTCGCCCCCCCGTCGTCGTCGTGGAGGGCCCCGTCTTCGGCCCCGTGGCTGTCAAGATCGGCCCAGGAGGAAGAGCTTGCCAGGCTGGGCCCCGGGAGGCAGGTGGCGTGGAGATGCACGCGTTGCTGCCGGTGCTCCTCCGTGGCCTTGGCCTCTCTGGGCCTTCTGGGAGATTCCTCGCCGCCGCGGCCGGGTTGGCCGCGGCCAGGTTCGCCACACGCAGTCTCCATTTTGGAGTGTTCTCCGCCTCGGGTAATTTCCAAGGGGCCTCTGTGACATCGGGGGAGGGCCTCACGTTCTGCGATGTTTAAGCTGTATCTCTCATCGAGCACTGGGGGATGTATCTCTTTCTCCCTCTCTTTCCCTCTCGCTCTCTCTTTCTTCCGCCACGTGCTTCGAGGCCGTCGCGCGCTGGGGCGAGCTTACCGGCAAGCTGATGCACACGCGGCTGCTGGACTTTGCGACCGCCGCGGCCAAGCTCAGGTACAAGACCAGGCTCTGCGTCGGAGCTGCACAGAGCCTGGGCCCAGATCCGAACTCAGACCTTAGAGGTTCGAGCAGGGAGGAGCTCTGGGGGCCGTTCCAGCATCTGAGGCCTCTGGGGGCCCGTCCACAGGTCAGCTGGGGGCGAAGAGCGGGTCGGGAGGAGGGTCAGGAGGTGGAGTGGGGTGGAGAGGGGGAATGAGGAGGAGGGTGGGAGCAGGAGGCTGTCGAGACTGTCGAGACTACATGGGGCGGGGCGCCCCTTCCCCGACCGAATGTTCTTGTGCACCGAGGCCACGCAGGATCTACAGAGCAGCAAATCTGAAAGAGGCCAAGCTGCTGGGTCCAGAGGAACTAACCCAGCCTGCACGACCGAGTGCCTATGAAATTCCCATGGGGTCCCAGAGCAGCCCGGAAGGTCTTCTGAGCCATCAGCAGCTGCAGGGGGTGGGAGGCGGCAGAGGCGCGGAAGGAGGAGAGGGGCAGGGAACGGACCCCCCCTCAGGGACCACCCCGCGCACCCGTACACAGGGCTCAACGCCCTCCCTCGCGGCCTCTTCTAGCCAAACCCAGTCCCTTGAGCTAATCTCGAAACACAGATCAGAGGTTCCAACAATCCCCTGCTGCACTTTCACGGGGGCCGTTGCATGTGGCGAGGAAGTGGTATGGGCCCATTTGCGCGAGAATTGTTTTTGTGTGCGTGTCGTGGAGTGGGGGGGTGTGGATGGATGGGGGGAAGGAATCAGGAAGGTAGCTGCAGTCACAGAGGACGTTCCAGCAATTCATCAGACTCAAACGAGACAGTTTTTGTACGCTTTCGTTTTCGATTGTTCTTCGGCGCTGGGACCGATTCGAACATTTCATTTCCCGAGAGGAGGTGATTGGCCACGGTGCCATAATATTCCGCCGTTCCGTAACGTATTTGTTTGAAAAATGGGGCTCGGCACCGAGCTGCAACGGGCCCATAGGGCTTAACCAAGCCAGGGGACCTGTAGGCGGACCCCTGCTATGCCGATAGTGCCGCCAGCAGCTAACGAGCCCGCAAGACATGCGAGACGAACCCCAGCGTTCTCGAGCAAGGGACTCACCAGTTGCCCAGGCTTCCTCCTCCTCCTCCTCCTCCTCCTCCTTCCTATTTGTGCAAGAGCCATGGCACGCGTGCCGCTTGTTAGCACGGAGAAGGGGAATACGAAACCGCTCCCCCGCTGAAAGGCTGACTGGGGCGCGGACGTCAGGAGGCCTGGTGCTGGGCAGCGCCAGAGGCGGACGGCCCGGGAGAGCTTCGGAAAGGGGGGGGAGGCATGGCGGCGCGCAGTCATCGACGGAGGAGAAGTACATTCGTTATCGTCTAGCCAATCCCCATCCCCATTCCCATCCCATTCGAGACCCCCACCAAATTACCACCCCACTTGGGGATACGACCTATATCCCCATCTAGGGGGGTAAATCGGGGCCAGTGGGGGCCAGGCTACGCCGCTGGGGATGGAGATCGGTTAAACGATACGCATACACAAGCGTAAACTTTTGAAGGTCGGCGCAATTTTCTTGGATCTGCGCTGGCCCCCCCTGGCGGCGCCGCCAGCGGGGGGTCAGCGCCAATCGCAGAAGGCCGCGCGCAGCTCCGGAAATCCGGGAATGCTGCTTTCTGTTCGTCGGAGCCAGAGTCGAGGCCCCCACGTCTCAAAGTTCACTTCGATCCGATCCAATTCCGAGGTTTGTGGCTTCCAACGTTTTCGAGGTTTTCGAGGTTTCCACAAGCTTCTGGAGGTCTTTCTGTCTTGGGACGCGTTCAAGCAGCTGCGCCTCCCCGGAGGGCCTTTTGAGGATGCCCAGTTCGTCCCGAACGGCCGCTGGAGACCCGAGTTAATCATGACCCGAAATCTCACTTGCTCTTCAGGGTCCATCTCGATCCGATCGATCCGATCCAATATCGATTCTGGTCGGCTTTGCCCGCTCCGATTGCGAGATGCTGGCGTATCAATGCGGCCCGATGTTTGTTCGACGGTGCTGTGCATCCTGGCGCGGCCGATCCGTCTTGATTTCGACTCCGTGCCCAAGCACCCCGATCCGACGCGCATCTCGATTCGGCCCGATTGCTAAGGCCGCACGGCCAGTGCCGCCGACCCTGGATACTTCGGCCCTCGAGGGTGACGGGATGCGTGATAAGACGTCGAAGGTAAACGAAGACGTGGCGGAGGAGGAGACGTAGGAGGCGTAGGAGGAGGAAGAGGAATAATCATAATAAGACGAATAATATGAATAATAAGAATAAGAACACTAATGCTACTACTAATAACAAGAATACTACGAGTCAGAATAATAATACGAAGAAGAACAATAAGACGACGAAACCTACTGCCACTAATAATAAGCATAAGAACAATACTAATACTTAGAAGAAGAATGCGAAGACGAATGCTAATACGAAGAATACAGATCATAAGACGAATGCTAAGACGAATGATAAGAAGACGGCTATTAATAATAATATGAAGACGAACAATAAGAATACTACTATTACGAATAAGAATAATACTAGTAATAATAACAATATTATTAATAATAAGAGGACTAGCTACTAATAAGAATAATACTACCACCAATAAGAAGAAACAGACGAATCTTAATCATAATACTACTAATAATACCAATACTTATACGAGGAATAATACGAGCAACACTAATACTGATAATACTAAGAATAATGATCATCATACTAAGACGTAAGCTAATAATCATACTAATAATACTCGTAACATTATGACGAATAATACTAATACGAAAAATAATAATACGAATAATAAAACGAAACCTGCTACGAACAATACTAATACCAGTGATATGAATAAGAAGAGTACTAATACACAGAAGAAAACGAAGAGCACAACTACTACTAATAACAACACTGCTAATACTAGTAGTAATAATAATACTGATCGTACTATTACTGTTGATACTAATATCAACAATACTTATATATTAATAATAATAATGGTAATACTACTAATAACAATCATACTAATAAGACGAATCATGAAATAAGAAGACGAATCAACACTAATACGAATCATAATAATAAGAAGACGAATACTAATAAGAAACATATGAGGAGGAGCAGGAGCATGAGGGGCAGGGGGGAGGAGGGGGGAGGGAGGACGAGGAGGAGGAGGAGGAGGAGGAGGTGAGGAGAGAGGAGGAGGAGGGGGGGGGATGGGGGGAGGAGGAGGAGGAGGAGGAGGAGGAGGAGGAGGAGGAGGAGTAGGAGGAGGAGGGAGGAGGAGGAGGAGGAGGAGGAGGAGGAGGGGGGAGGGAGGGGAGGGAGGAGGGGACGGGTCGCCCGGGGGATGCGTATCTGCCGCCCCCCCCCCTCCCCCCCTCCCCGGTGGGGAGGGTAGGGAGGCACCCCGATCCGACGCGCATCTCGACTCGGCCCGATTTTTGTGATCCGATGCTGACCGATACTGGGGTTCTAGGCCTCTAGGTTGCCCCGCGCGCGCGCCCGCGGTCACAAGGTCTGGGAAGATAGAACAAGCACCGACGACGACGGCGACGAAGCCAGACGACGTCAGCTCACCCCGCCCAGGAACGTGCGGTTTCGCCATCGGGGGCCTATTGTCGATTTATCGGAGATGCATCGTCGGTTCCAGCTCGATGTTTCTCACCCTCACCCCCTTGAGCCAGCCCCCCCTTATCGTCCTCTCCTTCTGGATGTTTTTCCCAATCATCCTGTGGTGTTGGGACTTCGTTTTGAAGAGGCAACGCCCCGCGTCTCCTCCTCCTCTCCTCCTCGCTCCCCTTCCTCCTTCGATCCCTGCCTCTGGCCTTCGAAACAGCCAACCATTTTGGCACACCCTCACCCGTTTCGTGGCCCCATAGGGAGCCGCACCGAAGGCCCAAGTGTCAGCGTTCGCATGCGGCCACCGCACCCATTTTGGCACACCTCTCATACGTTTCGTGGCCCCATAGGGAGCTCCACCGAAGGCCCGAGTGCCATCGTTCACGTGCGGCCACTGCACCCATTTTGGCACACCCTTCACACGTTTCGTGGTCGCACAGGGAGCCCCACCGAAGGCCCAAATGCCAGCGTTCGCATGCGGCCACCGCGCCCATTTCGGCACCTTCCCCACACGTTTCGTGGCCCCACAGGGAGCCCCACCGAAGGCCCAAGTGTCAGCGTTCGCATGCGGCCACCGCACCCATTTTGGCACACCCCTCACACGTTTCGTGGCCCCATAGGGAGCCCCACCGAAGGCCCAAATGTCAGCGTTCACGCGCGGCCACCGCACCTATTTTGGCACACCACTCACACGCTTGGTAGCTCCATAGGGAGCTCCTCCGAATGCGGTGCATACAGCGACGGTGTTTACAACTGAACATGGTTTGGTCCTTCGCCAGGCTAATTTTGGTTCTTTCACAATTTCCGTTCGCATCATTTGCTATCAGGAGGAGTGGGGGAGGAGCTGGAGGAGGAGGAGGAAGAGGGGAGGGAGGATGGATACGGTGCCACCGACAGGCTTCTCCCGAGCAGACACTCCCGAGGTCTCCGCAGGGCTCAGGGTACTTTTTGTGAGATTTCTGTCCCTGGCCCAGGCTCCAGGGTGCAACGGGAGATGAGCTTCAGGGGCAGCGGTTTCTCTGCTTCTCGGCGGTTTTTCAGCCTCGGGATACTTTCCAGCGCCTCGTGGGGCGGGCGAGACAGGGGGGGGCAGAGCGAGTCGAGGAAGGCACATAAAAATGCATGCTGCATGAACCTGAACTTTCGGAGCTGCAAACAGATCTCTTGGATCGGCGTTGGCCCCCACTGGCGGCGCCTCAGGCGCCGCCCCCGGAGCGCTCCGCGCGCCAGGGAGGGGGGTCAGAAATCTGCGCGGACCTTTGGAAGTTGATGTTAGTGTTTCTTCTTCTTCTTCTTCCTCTTCCTCTTCCTCTTCCTCTTCCTTTTCCTCTCTTCTTCTCATTTGTCTGTTTCTTCACCTTCTCTTCTTCTTCATCTCATTATTCTTCATCTTATTCTTTAAATTCTTCTAATCCTACAAGAAAGACTGGGGATGTCCTGGGGAAGAGGCTGCGCGACCCATCGGCCCACCGTCCCTCTTAAACGAAAACGACAGGATGAACGGTGTATTCACGAGAGTGTCAACGACAGCTACTGGGGATACATGATGGATTCCCAGCCGGCCAACCGTCGATGCCAGCACGCCCTGGGGACGAAAGACGGGGGCTCGCGCCACGTGGTCCGACGACTCCGCTTCCGAACCCGGGATCTGGAGGAGGCCGCCTCGGCCTATTGTGCAAGACTCGAAGGCGTCAGACTCACGACTGGGGACGATGGAGCTGCTCCCGGGGGAACTCACGACTGGGGACGATGGAGCTGCTCCCGGGGGAAGAGGTCGCGCGACCCGTCGGCTCGCCGCTCCCCCCCCCTCCAGCGGTCCTCAGCCCGGCCGGCGAGGCAGAGCCAGGGCCGTCGTGAAGCAGGCGTGGCAGCTGGCGAAGCTCGTGAACAAGGAGACCCGCGACGCGTTCGACTCCGGCTGGGGCAAGAAGGGCTTCCTGGTGGAGCTCTTCAGCCAGGAGTACGTCGACACGCTGGCCCTCTTCGCGCGGTCCGCCTCGAAGATCTGCGCCGTCCAGCCGTCGCTGGTGGAGGCCCGCGCGCCCTGCAAGATCTTCGGCGACATCCACGGCCAGTTCAGGGACCTGTTGCTCATATTCCGCGCTTTCGGCAGCCCTGACGAGCGCGATGCGCCGATGTTCGTCTTCAACGGCGACTTCGTCGATCGTGGCGAGCACCAGCTGGAGGTCATAGGCCTGCTGCTCGCGTTCAAGGCGCAGGGGAGGAAGAGCCACCCAGGCCCCCCTGCGTGGCATTTGCGAAACAGCCCTCGGCATTTTCTAGCCATTCGTGCCCTGCACGATTCCTTCCAGTCAGTGGAATGTTGTTGCTAGTTGGATTTTTACGAGGATGCTGGTGTATCGCTGGCGGGTTTTGGGAAGTGCCTCTGTTTCTCTCTACTCCCGTCATTCATCATCATTTCTCTCCTCGTGTTCTTCCTCCAGGCTACATCTTCCTCGCGCGCGCAAGCGAACACGCGCACACGCGCGCGCGCGCGCGCTCGCCAGCCCACGCACGCGCTCGCGCACACACCCGCGCGCGCCTACTCGCCCGCGTCCACCCACCCACCGACCCACCCACCAAGCCCCACCCACCCACTCGCCCAGCCACCCGTACACACATAATGTGTGCCCCTCTGGTCCTGCTCTTTGGCTCTCAGGCCTCAGTGCTCCAGGCGCCCACGTGGTGCTGACTTGAGCTCGGAGATCAGCCAGTTAGCCCATCTGGGCCGACTGACCGCTCCTCTGTGGGGTCCAAACACACCACACACCACACACACGCACGCACGCACACATTCACACGCACACGCAAACACACCCGCAAACGCACATGCACACTTCTCTTGGCGTCGCGGCCTCGCGCGCAGCGTCGATGCGTTCACACACCACACACCACACACCACACACACGCACGCACGCACACATTCACACGCACACGCAAACACACCCGCAAACGCACATGCACACTTCTCTTGGCGTCGCGGCCTCGCGCGCAGCGTCGATGCGTTCACACACCACACACCACACACCACACACACGCACGCACGCACACATTCACACGCACACGCAAACACACCCGCAAACGCACATGCACACTTCTCTTGGCGTCGTGGCCTCGCGCGCAGCGTCGATGCGTTCACACACCACACCACACACACCACACACCACAGACCAGAGACCACACACCACACACACCACACACTACACAACACACCACACAACACACAACACAGCACGCAGCACAGCACACGATCCACAACCCCCAACCCACAACCCACGACCCACACCCCACAGCAAAGAACACATAAGACACACACGCCACACAGCACATAACCCACACCACACAGCACACAGCACGCCGCACACGGCACACAACATACAGCACAACACGCAGCGCACACAACACAACAGTTGACCACACATCACACACCACACACCACACACGACACAGCACACACCGCACACCACACCACGCACCACACCACATTTCACACACCTCACGCCACACGCCACACATCACACGAGGCACACCACACAACACACATCACTAAACTCAGCACACAGCACAGACCACACAGCACACAACACACACCACACGCCACACACCACACAACACGCAGCACATCACGCACACCACAACACACCACACACCACGGAACACACCACACACCACAGAAAACACACCACACACCACACACCACACACCACACAACACAGAATTCACACAGCACACACCACGCACCGCACAGCACACACACCACACAGAACACGCACACGCACACGCACACGCACACGCACACGCACATGCACATGCACATGCACATACACATAACCATACACATACACATACCCATACACATACACACACGCGCGCACACACGCGCGCACACACGCACGTACGAACGCAATGGTTAACCTTTACCGTGAATTTGAATTCCCAAACGTGAAGAACGTACAGTTAGTGTAGTGTCATGTAATAGCGTAGTGTTGAAACCAACTAGCTATGACACTACGCTAACCGTAGCGTAGTGTCATAGCGTAGTGTTTCAAGCCAATTGGCTATGACACTACTCTACCCATAGCGTAGTGTTATAGCCTAGTGTTGAAGACACCTGGGCGTGACACCACGCTACGGTTAGCGTAGTGTCATAGCGTAGTGTTGGGGACACCTGGACGTGACACTACGCCATGACAGTACGCTACGGTTAGCGTAGTGTCATAGCGTAGTGTTGGGGACAATTGGGCGTGACGCTACGCTCTGACACTACGCTACGGTTAGCGTAGTGTCATAGCGTAGTGTTGGGGGCACCTTGGCGTGACACTACGCTATGACAATACGCTAGGGTTAGCGTGGTGTCAGCGTAGTGTTGGGGGCACCTGGGCGTGACACTATGCTATGACACTACGCTACGGTTAGCGTAGCGCCACAGCGTAGTGTTCAGGACACTTGGGCGTGACACTACGCTATGACACTACGCTACGGTTGGTGCGGGGGAGGAGGAAGGTTTTTTTTTACCCTTTGCTTTTCCTTTGTTTTTTCTTGATTCTGCTCCGTGAGAGAGGACACCCCGCTACCAGTAGCTTAATATTATAGCGTAGTATTGGGGACACCTGGGCGTGACACTACGCTATGACACTATGCTACGGTTGAGCGGGGGGAGGAGGAGTCGTTTTTGTTGTTCGTTTGAGTTTCCGTAGGGTTTTGCTTGGCTCTGCTCCGTGAGAGAGGACTCTTTGCTACCGTTAGCGTAGTGTTATAGGGTAGTGCTGGGGACACTTGGGCGTGACACTACGCTACGGTTGAGCGGTGGGAGAAGGAACGGTTTTTTGTTGTTTGTTTTTCCGTAGAGTTTTGCTTGGCTCTGCTCCGTGAGAGAGGACACCATGCTACCGTTAGCGTAGTGTCATAGCGTAGTGTTGGGGACACCTGGGCGTGCCACTACGCTATGACACTACGAAGCGGTTGAGGCGGGGGAAGATGAGTCGTTTTTTTTGTCGTTTGCTTTTCCTTAGAGTTCTGCGTGACTCTGCTCCGTGAGAGATGACTCTTTGCTACGGTTGGCGTAGTGTCATAGCGTAGTGTTGGGGACACCTGGGCGTGACACTACGCTATGACACTACGCTGCGGTTGAGGCGGAGGGAACAGGAAGAGCTTGTTTGTTGTTGTTTGGTTTTGTGTTTTCTCTGGGTTTTTTTTGCTGGACTTTGTTCCATGACAGAGGATTTTGCGCTGCGGTTAGCGTAGTGCCATAGCGTATTGTAGGAGACACTTGGGTGAGACATTACACTATGACACTACGCTGCGGTTAGCGTAGTGTCATAGCGTAGTGTTTGGGACACCTGGGCGTGACAGTACGCTATGACAGTACGCTACGGTTAGCGTGTCATAGCGTAGTGTTGGGGACAATTGGGTGCGACACTACGCTATGACACTACGCTACGGTTAGCGTAATGCCATAGGGTAGTGTTTGGGACATCTGAGCGTGACACTACGCTGTGACAGTACGCTACGCTTAGCGTGTCATAGCGAAGTGTTGTGGACACTTGGGCGTGACACTACGCTAAGACATTACGCTACTGTTAGCGTGGTGTCAGCGTAGTGTTGGGGGCACCTGGGCGTGACACTACGCGATGACACTACGCTACGGTTAGCGTGAAGTTAGCGTAGTGGCGTAGTGTCAGTTCGCGACCAAGACTCACTCTCCACGCACGCGCGCACGCACGCACGCACACACACACACGCGCACACACACACGTACATAGATACATACATACATGGATACATACATACATACATCCATACATACATACATACATACGTACATACATACAGACACACACACCACGCAACACACACCACGCAACACACAACACACAACACACACCGTCCCGCAGACAACACACACACACCACACATCACACAACACACCACACAACACACAGCACATACGACACACACAACACACAACACCGACCACACACACACACCACATAACACAACACACACCCACACACGCACGCACGCACACACACACACACGCACGCACACACACACACACGCCCACCCGCACACACACGCACGCACACACACACACACACGCACACACACGCACACACGCACACACGCACACACACACACACGCACACACACGCACACACACGCGCACGCACACGCACACACACTCGCACACACACACACACACACGCCCACAGACCCACACACACACACACACACACCCACACACCCACACACCCACACACCCCCACACCCACACCCACACCCACCACACACACACACACACACACGCACGCACGCACGCACGCACTCACGCACGCAGGCACGCTCGCACGCAAGCGCGCACACACACACGCACACACACACATGTATACATACATGCGTACATACATACCCACACACACATCTATATATATGTATATATATATGTATATACACATGCGCACTCAAGCCCCCCTGACGCGGATCAGGATTCTGTCAGTTGCCGCGATGGTTGTACGTACGCCCTCGACGTTGCGATACACGCGCACAAACACACACACGCGCACACGCATACACAGCGCACACCACTCCACACACAAACACACCCGACAACGCATACCACACGCCGCACACCACACACCACCCTACACTCAGCACACAGCACAGACCATACAACACAACACACACCACCCAGCCCGCAACACACAACACACACACCACCCACCACACAACACACAGCACACACCACAACACACACCATACAGCACAACGCACACACAGCACACAACACACATTACACGCCACACGTCCCGCAGCACAACACACACCATAGCATCACACACCACAGCACACAACACACACCACGCCACACAAGACACACCCCACACCGTACACCACGCACCACACACCACACACCACACACCTACACCCACACCACACCCCACACACCCCACACCACACGCCACACATCACAGACCGCGCACCACGCACCACACCACACACCCCACACCACACACCACACACCACACTCCAGACACCATACAACACACAGCGCACAACCCACACCCCACAACCCGCAACCCAAACCCCCCCAAACCACAACACACACAACGCCGAGCACACACCACACACCACACAGCACACACGACACAACACACAGCACACCACACAGGGCACAGTGCACACGTCACACAGTGCACAGTTCACAGCCCACAGCCCACAGCACACAGAACAGAACACACACCAAACAGCACAACACACCACACAACACACAACAACCACCACACATCACACAATTCACAACACACAGACGCGCAAAGCTCAGCGCGCAAGACGCAGCGCACAGCACACAACACAAACACAGCAACAAACCACACACCACATAACACACAACACACAACACACAACAGACATACGCCACGCACCACACACCACACCACACAACACACAGCACACACCACAGACCACACACCACGCACCACACACCACACACCACCCACCACGCACCACACACCCACACACAGCAAACAGCACACACCACACACCACACACTACACACCACACAGCCCACAGGACAGAATATACAATACGCACCACTCACCACACACCACGCACCATGATACCGGAGAAAAACAAACCCACTCATAATATTTTTAGGGCTGTAGGGCTATGGGGCTGTACGGTTATAGGACTATAGGGCTAGGGCTATAGGACTATAGGGCTATAGGGCTATAGCAACATAGGGCTGTAGGGCTACAAGGCAATAAGGCTATAGGGTTATAGGCCTATAAGGGCTATAGGGTTACAGGGCTATAGGGCGATTGGGCTATAGGGCATAAGGACTATAGGGCTACAGGGCTATAGGGCTATAGGGCTATTAGGGCTATAGGGCTATAGGGCTATAGGGCAGTAGGGTTATAGGTCTATAGGTCTATAGGGATATAGGGCTCTAGAGCTATAGGGCTATAGAGTGATAGAGCACCCGGGCACCCCGGGGCACCTCCGGGCACCCCTGGGCACCTTTGGGCACCCCCGGGGACCCCCGGGCACCCGGGCACCCCCGGGCACCCGGGCACCCGGGCACCCCCGGGCACCCGGGCACCCGGGCGTGCGGCGAAAATCGGCGGCAAACCTAACCTAACCATATGAATCCGCTAGGACCCCCACAGAGGCAAGCTCTGATTGGGGAACATTCCGTACACCACACACCACGCACCACACACCACACACCACCCACCACACACCACCCACACCCACGTCGCAACACCCACCACCCAACACCGAAACACCCAACACCCAACACAAAACACATCACCCAACGCACACCACCCAACACCCACCACCCACCACACACCACACACCACCCACCACCCAGCGCCTACCACACACCACAAGCCACACACCACGCACCACACACCACACAACACACAACACAGAGCCCACAGTATACAACACACAGTACACATCACACGACACACCACACAACACACAACACACAAGACAGCAGCCAACACACAACACACAACACACCACACACCACGCACAACACACCGCACAACTCACAACACAGAACAGACACCACGCACCGCTCACAACATGCCACACAACACGCGCCACCCATCACCCAGCACACAACTCACAGCGCACAACGAACAACACACACACACACCACACCACATAACACACAACACACAGCACACAGCACGCATCACACATCACTCACCACACACCACCCACCACACAATCCGCACCCCACACCCCGCTCACACCACACACCACACCACATTCCACAAACCGCACAACACACAACACGCAACATGCAGCACACAGCACACTACACACAACACACAGCTCACAATACACGACATAACACACAACGCACACTGCAGATACGCTGTGACACATAGGCGAAGGCAAAGAGACACAGAGACACAGAGACACCTAGACACAAAGACCCAGACACACAGACACACAGATGCACAGCGACACCGAGACACAGACACACAGAGACACAGAGGCACGGCGAAACAGGCACACAGAGCACACAGACACACAAAGACTACAGAGACACAGAGACAGAGACACAGATACACAGACACAGGGACACCGGGACACAGAGACACAGACACACGGACACACAGACACACAGCGAGGGGCAGTTCTCCAGCAATTCAGTCCGCGGCGTGCGTATCAGCACACATTTTTTTTCGAGGGACAACGTTCAAGCACCCCCTGGCGTGCGTTCCATGTTTTTCCCAGCGCGGGCGTTCCAGCAGTCCACGGCGCCCGCGTCATCATCGAATTTGATGCCGAGCGCGGGCGGTCGAAGCTCAGCGCAGACGACGGCAGGGGTGCTGCTTCGGAGGGTGCTCCTTCCGCCCTTCCAGAGGTGCTGCTGCCCGAGAAGGTGTGGCTGGTGCGGGGCAACCACGAGTTCCGCTTCATGAACGAGAGGTACGGCTTCCTGGACGAGTGCAACCAGAGGCTCGGGGCCCATCCGGACCCGAGCGGACCGGCTCGGTGTCGGTCTCGGCCCGGCCGATGCCAATCTCCTTCCGGTGCTGCGAAGATCCGTTGCGGCCCCATGGTTTCCTGTGCGCTGCTGTGCCTCCCGGCGCGGCTGGCGCCCCTCGGCTCCGGCCACGTGCTGAGGCGACCCGATTCGATGCCTGTTCCGATCCGCTCTGATTTAACCGATTTGATTCTTGATTCTGGCGGCTGCTGGAGGCTGGGGTCGTTTGGGCCCAAGCTGTTCGAGCTCTTCCACCTGGCCTTCGACGTCATGCCCGTCGCCTGCCTGATCTCCGACCGCATCCTGTGCGTGCACGGCGGCATCGGCGAGGGGAATTTCAAGGTCCGGGTCGGACGAAAGAGGTGGGATTGCAGGGTCCAGTGTAATTCGATCGATGCGATTCGATATTGATGTCGCCCGGCTCAATCCGATTCGATTCCGATCTCTCGACGATCCGATGCGGTCCGATGCTTGCATGGCGCTGCTGTGCGCCTTGGCGCAGCCGATTCGATTCGATTTCGACTCCTTGCTGGTGCAGCCCGACCCGACGCACACTCCGACCCGGTCCGATTTCTGGGTTTGATGCTGGCCGATCCCTGGACCGGGGAGTGGGGGCGGCGTGCAATCTGCCGCGCGCACATGGTTTCGGCCTCGCCGCTGGACGCTTTCATCGACACAAATGGCGCCTCCAGCGCCAGGAGGCACAGGAGAGACCAGCTGCGTGCTACCCCCCTCCTCTCGTCCGCCCGCCCCGAAACCCAGACGTCCGACGGTGTTATTTTTCAACCCGCGGCCCCAGTGGTTCAGAAGAGGAAGAGGCACCGATACCGTTACCCTTGCATCGTTCTGGCTCTTTTGGGCCGCCTGGGTCGCCACGGCTGGATTTGCTTGAAATTCTGGTCAGAACGCACCCTGGGAGAGGTCTGGATCCATTTTTGCTAGTCCTGGGGGCCTGGTAACGGGCCCCAGAGGCCGAAATCGAGCAACGCAAACCCGGATACCAAACGTCGAGATCGTCGGAGACTTGAGAAGGTCGACGACATCCGGGGAATCCGTCGTCCGCTGAACGACGACAACACGGACGCGTGGGTCCACAACCTGCTGTGGTCGGACCCAATCGAGGACGACACAGATAAGAGCGACGTCTTTGGTGTACATGCCTCCCCGCGGGGCGGCGCGGTGTCCACCTTCGGCTGGAACGTCACAAAGTCCTTCTGCGCCCGCAACGGCCTAGGCCTCATCATCAGAAGCCACCAGTCCAAGCGGGACGTCCCCAGACCTCCTCGCGTCGTGACAGAAGTTGAGGTTCGAGGTTTTGAGAAGTTTTCGCAGGATCTGGAAGGCTCTTCCAGCCTGGTTTACAACAGCCGCGCCTCGCCGAGAGCGTTCCAGGGGTGCCCGCATTGGCTCGAATGGCCGCCGGAGACCGCCTTACGATGGCCCGAACTGGGTAGTCGAAGCTGTCAGATTGGATTGGGCCCCAAGGGCCAATCTGGCCCGGCCAAACTGGATGATTTGGGTTATTCGCCAGACTGGATTCGCGTTGGCTCCCTCGCCAGATTGCCCCCGTTTGCCAGATTGGGCCTGCCAGATTGGCGCCAGATTGGCTTCGACTACCCAGCCGAAAGCCAGAGCTGCTCGCGCTGCGAAGCCACGACGGAAGTTGCTTGCTGATTCTGGCCTCTGGATCCTGCTGTGCTGGGCCCCCAGAGCCTGTCCACACACGACCAGGAAGAGGTCCAGATTTCGCGGGGTCCGCGCTGCGAACAGAACACGACGTTGGAGGAGGAGGAGGAAGAGGAGGAGGAGGAGGAGGAGGAGGCGAAGGGGGGAGGAGGAGGAGGAGGAGGAGGAGGAGGAGGAGGAGGAGGAGGAGGAGGAGGAGGAGGAGGAGAGAGGAGGAGGAGGAAGAGGAGGAGGAGGAGGAGAGAGGAGGAGGAGGAGGAGGAGGAGGAGGAGGAGGACCAGTGTAAACCCAAGAGTCATCATCGATGTTGGAATAAGCCCTCCCTCCACGCTCCCTCTTCATAGGCCCCTACGACGGTTTATTTCCACTGAGGGAACTGCCTCGTTGGAAGATAACCGTTCGAAGACCCTGAAGCATACCAAAACATTCTTCTGGGGACTAACACCACGGATGAACCTGATTGTTTCGTTTTGGCGATCCTGAATCGTGCCAGAACGCCACTTCTGGGATTTCAGCCGCGAATCGACCTAATTGCTGCACCCTCAATCTTGAATCTTTCCCAAACGCTATTTATGGTACGTTGATCATGGGAATACGTGAACCTCCTACAATGTTTGAAACGAATGTGCTAAATCGAGAGCCACATTTTGAAATTGGCCCGCCTTCAACCTGTGAAGGAAGTTTTAGAGAACGAATGTACGCGGCGCTAAGGCGAGAACCACATTCTGAAAATGGCCCGCCATCAATCCGTGAAGCTCTTGCATTTTTTCGCAACGAATGTGCGCGGCGCTACGGCGAGAGCCACATTTTGAAAAGGACCCGCCCTCCATCTGCGAAGCTCCAATCTTTAAGCTTCAGGGTTGTAGTTGGTGAGGAGGGCTCAGGCGAAACGCCCGGCCCGCCCTAAAAGCAGGCCTCGGGGTGCGACAGGAGAAAATATTTAGAAGGAAACGGAATGGAGGAGGAGGAGGAGGAGGATGAGGGGCCGAGTGGAGAAAACCCAACCGAGGCTGTTTTCGCCTCGACGTCGCCCCCTCTTGGGCCTCTTTGGGTGAGGTTGACCCCGTCGCCATGGCCAGCCTCGCCTCGGCATCCTGGCCGGAGCGCGCGCGCGCGGGAGAGCGGTCCAGAGAGCGAGTGGCGGCATCGTCCATGCTTTCTCCGTGGCCTGGCAAGGTCTTGGACTGCCAGAGCTCGTTTCGATTCTCCCGATTCGATTCGATTCGATTTCGGTGGCTTCCGATTCCGATGCGATTCGATTTTGGGTTCCGATTTGGGTTCCGATTGCTCAGTTGAGGCCTGCTAGCCTGCCGATCTCCGCCGATTCGATTTTTTCGACTCGGCTGCCGATTTCCGCCGATCCGATTCATGTCGATCGCCGATCCGACTTATCGATTCGATTCTGGGCTCTCCTGCAGGTAGTCCCGGCTGACCTCAACAGGCCTCCCGAGTAGCCCAACGCGGCCTCAACACCCCTGCGCCGCCTCCGGCGGCGCCCCTGGGGCGCTCCGCGCCCCAGGGTCGGGGTGTGCGATGTTGAGACCGCACCGGGCTTGTCGGGGGGCCTGTTGAGCCGGGGGCTGCAGTCTGTGCGCAATCCCGAGACCTGACCCCCTTGGCCTCGCTCCTGTGCAGAGGACAGCCTCGGGATCGACATCATGCACGACAACCTGCTCATGCGCGTCTTCACCGCCCGGGACTACGAGGGCCACGGCAACGACGGGGCGGTGCTCTTGGTGAAGCCGGCGAGCGACGCGCAGCCGCGGGGCGGCGTGCTGCTGGTGCGGCCTCAGGTGTTGCGGTCGGTCGCCAAGGGCAAGAGGGCGAGGGCCGCCCAGAAGGCGATCGACTAAGGAAAACCAGCGGCACATACATAAACTGTCACAGCTCCGCGCCGGTCTCTCGGATCGGCGCTCGGACCCCCCTGGCGGCGCCTCTGGGATCCGCCCCTGGCGCGCTCCGCGCGCCAGGGAAGGGGGGTCCGCGCGGGCCTCCGTCAGTTTGTACGCTCATTTTTTTGTTTTTTGTTTTTTTTTGTTTTTTCTCTCGCCAGGCGAGGCGGAGGGCAGAGGCGCAGGCAGCAGCTCTGGCGGCGGGCGAGCGCTCGGCCGTGGGGGGCGGCGGCTCGGGCCCGGACTCCGACTCCGAGTCCGAGGACGAGGACGACGGTCCTCAGGGGCGGCTATCTTTTTTTTTGTGTGAGCGACGCATCAAATCACCACCCACCAAACCACCCCAACCCAACCCGAAGGCTCAGATTTACCCTCGATTTCTAGTGGGGGGGGTCCGGGAACATCGAAAAAACACATATCGAACCCATACCCCCCCCAACCCGAAATTCGGGTCTTCGGGTTGGGTTGGTGTGGTCTGGTAGGTAGTCATCAAACAGGGGTCCGTTGGCGCCGACAGTGGCGCGTAAGCTGCCCGCGTAGGGTCGCGCGTACGCGCCATTCTCTCCAGGGTGGCGTGCCGCTCGGGCGGCCCGCGCAAGCGACCGCGTAAGGTCGCTATGCCATCTCGCGTGAGACCCGTTTTCTATCGTCGCTCACGCGGGGATGGGCTCCGCGGGGGGGCGCGCATCGGGCCCCCAAGCGCCCATGGATCGCCGACGGGAGCCCGAGAGCCCACCTCGCCCAGGGCCGTGCGGTTTCGCCGTCGGGGGGCCCGTGGCCGATCTGTCGGCGTCGCATCGCCGACTTGAGGTCGATGTTCCCCCCATGAGCCAGTCCCCCCCCCCCTATCGTTGACCCTCAGGTCCCGCCTTCGAGAGCACGAGGTCTCTGAGGCGTGGCGTCCCGGGCTGATCTCGCACGCCGGGTGCTCTCAGCTGCACCGTACTGGAGGTCTAGAGTCCGAGGCGGGAATATATCCACAACCACCCCCTGGGGCATTGATCTTCGGGGACCCCGGCAGGCGGTGGGTATGGATATGGATATGATATGGATATGGATGTGGCTATTGATACTGATTTGTCTGTACATCTACATCACATATATATATATGTGTTTACCTGTAAGTGTAAAGATATGCTCACTTACACACACACATATATATATTGTCGTCCCCGCACGATCATACATATGGGCTTCGACCTTTCGTGATCAGTGCCCTCTTTCGGCTCCTCCTCCTCTGTTTTCGCCTCCTCCTCCTTCTCGTCCTCCGTCTGCTGCAAAAAGGAGGCAGAGGAGGAGAGGAGGAGGACGAGGCGCGGCATATGAAAACCATAGTGGTTTCGGGCTTCCTAGATCCTGCACGTGAGACAACAGTGTGTGTGTGTGTGTTTACAGGTATTTCAAGTTCTTATATATTCAGAACTCTGGAGACACTAAAATGATCATATATTGGAAAGGCCTTGTGGCCGATGCCGCCGACCCTGAACGGGACGACGACGACGACGACCGCGGCGGCGGCGGTGGCGGCGACGACGACTGTGACGCTCTGAAACCTTTCGTGGGGCTCCTCTTGGGAGCCAATGGGGCTCTGTTGGGGGGCCTCTTGGACGACTTCTTCTTGGGTAACTCTGTGGCCACTTGGAGCCGCATCGTAGCGGATCTAGGGCCTCTTGGAGGCATGTCGGAAAATACGCAGCTTTTCCGCAACAGCAGATCAGAGTGAGGAAGGTGCCTCCGGGGTGGGGGGTGGTCGGGAGGAGGCGGCGGTGGCGGCGGTCCCTTTGTCCACAGGGGGAAGGGGAAGGAGGGGTCCTGAACCCAGTTTCGGGACAGGGGCCAGCTTTCAAGGTTTCTCGTACGGATGTTGCGTCGTCTTGTGTGTGGTGTTTCTTCTGTCTGTCTTCAGGCTTCGGGCGCAAATGGTGGCCTGGTGGAATCCCTTTGTGGATGGCTACGAGTAAATTCCCCCTGTCTGGGTGGTTACGCATCGATTCCTTTTGTGTGGGGGTTACACATAGGTTCCCTTCGTGGGTGATTTCCATTCCACTGTCTATGTATAGGGCTTACAACTAGATCCCTTTTGTGCGGGGGGGTGCACATTGATTCCTCTTGTGGCGGAGGAGGGGATGGTCTGGCCCTGGGGGAAAGATCCCAGCAAAAACAACACATCAAAAACGCCCCCTGAATCCACTGGTAAATTTTTTTTCGGGCGGGCCCGAACACCAGAAAAGAGACCCGTGGATCAGGGGGGGCGTTTTTTTGTTTCTCTCCTTGGGCCTGTCTCTTAGGGCCTAGCCCCCCCTGAGGAAGCTTACAGCGCCAGGGACCGGCGGCGCCAGGTTCCGTCGGCAGCATCTTCTCCTCCTCCTCCTCCGCGTCCTCCTCCTCCTCCTCCGCGTTCTCCTCTTCCTCCTCCTCGTCTTCCTTCTCAACCTGGGTCCCAGAGGGTGACCGGGGGTAGGTTAAAGCGTTTGTGGGACGGGAAACACCCCACCACGAACAAGCCCATTTGAAAGTAGGCTCTTGTGGGCAGTTTCAAGTTTCCTGGTTTCGGCTCAGGGACGGTCCGAAGCGGCAAGGAAACCCGCGGTAGTAAGTCCATGGGGCTTTGATCACCGTTAGACCAGCTCTAATCCAGCTCTAATCCTCCTCTTCTTTCTCCTCCTCCTCCTCGTTTCTTTCCTCCTCCTCCTCCTCCTGACGATGACGATGCTGACGATGCTGCCGACGACGATGCTGCCGATGACGATGCGACTTCCGATGAGGGGATCCATGCATCTGTCCAAGGATGCTGCCACGGGTTTCTCTCCGGCAGCTCCGTCTCACCGAGAGCTGTCAGGGTGTGCTGGGACCGTCTTGATCGTCTGACTGATGCATGTCATCGGCATCGTCATCAACATCGTCTTCAAAACCGCACTCGTCATCACCATCCTCATTGACAGGGCCTTGATCGTCATACCAGTCATCACCGTCGTTACCAACATCATCGTGATACAAATATGCAAGCTATTAGCATCGTCATCAGCAATATTTTGAACACAATTTCCGTCACCACCATTGTGATCGACAGCATTTTGAGAGTAACGCTCGCCATCGTCACTGTCATCGATAGGAAATTCAGGCTGGTGCATCGTCATCAACGACATTGTCAAAGCCATACTCGTCATCACCGTCGTCATCAGCAAGGTGTTGACCGTCATACTCGTCACCACCATCGTCACCAACCGCATCATCAGGCTATTGCGTGCCATCAGCATCGTCATCACCAGCATATGGAAGCCACTACTCGTCATTACCATCGTCATCAACGAGGTCTTGATAATCATTATCGTCACTGCCATCGTCACCAGAAACATCACCATACTACTGCGTGCCATCAGCATTGTCACCAGCAGCATCTTTCAACCAATTCTCGTCATCATTATCGTCATCGACACTGTCTTGAAACACGTCCTCGTCACCACCGTTGTCATTGAACGCGGATTGGGAATCTTACTCGTCATCAGCATCGTCATCGATGCCATATTCAGGCTGATGCGTGTCATCGGCATCATCAGCAACGCCATTTTCAAAACCATACTCGCGATCACCATCGTCATTCGCACAATCGTGCAACACGTGCTCGTCACCACCATCTTTACCAACATAATCGTCATACCATCGCATGCCATCAGCATCGCCATCCGCAACATCTTGAGCACACCACCGTCATTGGGACAGTCTTGAAACACATGCTCGTCACCACCATTGCCATAAGTAGCTGGTTTGAGGCTCAATCATTGTTTTGATTCCAGGTTCGCTGCCTGTGCCTCAGGATGCCGAGGGAAGGGGGCAATGGCGAGAAGAGCGCCTGGGAGCCAGCGCAGGTCGCAGCCAACCGTGGGCGGAAGGTCCCCGCCCCTTAGACGAAACGGCGCCTACGTCGGAAGAAGGCGCTTCCACGCGCTTCAGTTTGCATTCGCGCGAAGATGGCGGCATACCAGAAGAACAAGTTCAACGAGGAGGCGGCGCGGCGGAGCCGTGAGAAAAAACGCGTGGAAAAGGCCACCGAAGAGGCGGCTGTGAATTGGCGCCCGGACAAAAAGCATGGCTCCTCGAGTTCTCCTTCGGCGTCGTCTTCGTCCACGTCGTCGTCAGACGCCCTGGGCAGCGGTCGCTCTTCGGAATCCGAGTGAAGCGGCGCGCAGGAGAAAAACCGGCTTCGGCGTCTCCGAGGAAAACAAACGTCAACGTCGTCATGAAGCGCGTGCAGGAAAGACGAGGAAGCACGAGTGAGCAATAGGATCCAACGCCGCATCGCCCACGAGAGACCCGCGAGAGGCAGAACATGGATGGCGGGGTGGGGGGTGCAGTAAGAAGAACGCACGGCGCCCCAGGAGGATTCCGTTTCGGGAGGGCCCAAGATGGGGGCCCAGGAGAGGGCGCGCGAGAGGCCCGCGAGAGATTCCTCGAGGGCGCCCGTGATGGAACCCGAGGAAAACCCAGCGAGGAAACGTAGGAAACGCACTAGTCGATCACAACGAGGGGTCGCCTCCGCGCTGCTGTTGTTATGGCTCAAAGAAGGGTTGCGCCCAGACGACCGCGAGTCTGCCCCGTGGAACTCTTCGCGTCTCTCGCCTCCCACGCGCGTCGTTTGCGTGGCGGCGCCTGCCGGCGGTCTCGCCGCGCGGCGCGCGCGCGCGCGCCGGGGCGCGGCGGCGGGCGTCGGCGACGTGGGCGCGTGGAAAGACGAAGGATTTGACAATTTTGGCGCCAGCTAATTCAGATCCCTGACATGGGCGGCGGCGGCGAGGCCGAAGGGTCGCTCTCCTGGGGGAGTTGAGGCGGCCATCGAGAAGGGTTGCGTTTGATTTTGGCGACGGCTGGGCGAGCGTGGACATCGCCGATAAGGGTGCTCCGTCTATCGTCGCTCTGGGTGTAGTCTTGGGCGTGGCCTGGGGCCCGAAGAGCGACTTCCTCCTTGCCCGCGTTGCCGGCTTGCTTCGCAGCGGTGAGCTTCGCGCTCGCCCCGGCGCCGCCTGCGAGCTGGGCGACGCGGCTTGGCTCGCCGTCGACTCGATGCCTCGGCGCCTTGTCATCCGCGCGGGGCAGGCGATGGCGCCGGCTGAGTTTGTGCTGGGCGAGGCGGCGAAGGCAGAGGCGGAACGTGCGTCGGCGAGCGCCATTCCCTATTTGAATAACTTCCAGCAGTGGGCAAACTTCGCCCCCGTGGTAGATTTCGAGCTACGCAGCGCGACGCGTTGGGCAACGGCAGCGGCGTGCTCGCACTCCAACGTGTCTGGGCACTTCGTGAATGCTGCCAGAGGGGCCTGGTGCCTTGAAGGCGCGCGCCGAGTTCTACCGGCCGGGCCGCCTTGTCACGGGGCACATCGTGCTTTGCTCTGACAGCGCGCGCGCGCGCCAAGATGTCCGCCGCCGCGGGGGGCGCGCGGGGAGCTGGCGGCGCGGGGTGCATCCAGAAGTCGGCGGATAACGATTTCATCCACATGAAATGCCCCCCTGGGCAGTTGCTCGACCTACGGGCCGCCCGAGGCCGAGCGAAGGGAGTTCAATATGGAATTGGCGATTGCGCTGGAAGGCAGGCGCGAAGGCCGTCGCATGGTGCGCGCCGACGACGCCCTCGGCCTCCTGGGGGGGCAGGATGCGCGCGCTTGCTTGTGCCGCGCAGTGAGCCCGCGGCAATTCCAAATCTTTGATTTCAGTCCCGCGCCGCGACGTCTTCCCGGGCGCCCGCGGACGCGCCCCCTTCGCGTGGTGCGAGAGCGAGGAGGAGCGTCGAAAGCAGGGCATCATATTATGTTCTGCTGAGCCGCCAGATGAAGTTCGCGATGCCCGTTGACCTCGCGGGGCCCTCCCGCTCTCTTCGCGCCGCGCAGTGGCTGTTTCGGCTTTGGCTTGCGCGCCTGACCCGCGATCTATTGGCCGGCCCAGCCGCGAGGTCGCGTCGGGCGCGTCTGCGGCCGCCGGCGTCATCGCGACCGCGCCCCCTGCCAGGGGCGCCGCCTCTTCGCCTCCAGCCTCCGCGTCCGCGGTC